GAGAGAGATAGAGATAGATAGATAGATAGATAGATAGATAGATAGATAGATAGATAGATAGAGAGAGAGAGAGAGAGAGAAAGAGAGAGAGAGAGAGAGAGAGAGTACGTGTGTCTGTAAGTGTGTCTATGTATATGTGTGAAAGTTGAGGAGGCAGTGGTGGGGGTCCAACCAGATTGGGAGAGGCAGCCCTGTCTTGCTGTAGTGAGTTCTTGGTTAGAGATTATAGAAGCGCTCTGTTATCGTACGACAACTTTGAGATTATGCAACTGGTAATTATCATACATTCCGAGTAACATTATGCAGTGAATGTTTTATAATCGTCATGTCACGTTCTATCAGCCGGTGAATAATTTGGGACCCATTTTTTCAAATTAAAAAAGATGTTCTGCCTTATGCGAATGAAGATACTGCAATAACCATGTCGTTTACCCTCATACTTTTTGCCTATTCAAGATCACCAACAACTAAATGCATGCAGAGATTAAGACAATCAATATCGTATAAATATTGGCCCCAAAAATGTACATGGATAATCTAGTTATGTACTCCGACAGCACGTCAGAAACATATGCTCGACCACACCATTTTCCAAAGGAATAACTCACGCAAAACTCTCACACGTGATCGTTTTTCTTGTCCGTGCATTACCTTTTTTGTGCGTATTCTACGTTTCTCGCGTCAGTGTAGGCTAGCTTGGAAGTTAGGTTGTGGGCGACTGGGCAGTATTGTGTCGTTGGGTGGTCTTTCATCGCCCTGCCTCGTCAGTGTAAGCGACCCAGGCTTCATTAATTAATAACACGGATGGATACATGTGATATTCTTTACTGCTCACAATAATTCGTCATTACTGTACAAAAGCCTTTGTTTCGGGACTCGGCCATTTTTTCCTCTGTCACATCGTATCAATGGCATCGCTATTCCCTTATGTTCAACTATAGTTGGGGTTTACCCTTGTCCAATTTTGCAGATTTCGTGAGGTGACAATGGCCACTTTTACCAGATTTTCTCGAAATGATGACATGTGAATATCGTGAATTCGATTCGTAAAGAGCAAGAACTTATTTGTCAGGTGTATGACATGTGACCATTACATTGTCCCGAAATCAGGCAGACATACACAATGTATCGTGTAGTCTAGGGGCGGCTCGTGGGTCTGAAAAGTGGGCGTGCACAATTAAGCTATCTTAGGCTGAAGATAATCAAGGGCAGAGTAAATGGGATGGTGTATAATTTTAGGATCTTTGGGTTGGTGAAGGAAGACCTTGTGCTTTTATTTTCATTCTTTTTACTTGTGGCTTTGACTTCTAGAAATAAATCTGTTAGTTAGCTAAACGTCAATTTCATTCATCCTGTATTAGAACTGAACACTCAAGTAATACCTTTCACCACTCCACTACACAACCGTTCAAAAGCACAACTCATAGGACGGCGACTTAAATGTGTCACGTTTACCTCCCTCAGGTTCACGGTCACAGAGTCACTTAAAAATAGCGACAAGACAATGAACCAATCACAATTCACTTCAGCACTCCGATGGATTGCTCCGGGGCCCACATAATTTTGGCATGGAATAGTGCACAGTCTATGGCGTTTATTTTTAGATTGCCTACTGTGGGCTATGTTTCGGCGCTATTCGGCAGGAGCACATTTGAGATGTGCCGTCTTATTAATATTTATGTACCGCCAGACTCTCTACAAGTGTCGTCATCGCTTGGGTTATTCCAAAGAGCGATTTATAGGTCGGGTTTCCACTGTTGACTATCCTGGTATGTTTAGATACAACGCGTGAACTTAGGCATGGCATAGTAGATGTTTTACGGCGCTATAGAATAGAAATGACAGTTACGGCGCCAACGAA